TGGAACTCTCCCTCCATAGTTTGCGCTTACTTCTTTTCTCTCTTTCAGTTGAATCCTCGATTAGCTTTATTTTTCCCTCTTGTTTCTGTTTATGGTACCTTTCCCGTTCTTTCCTTTTGTACTCTTCATGCATTTCGGGATTGTTTCGAATACGCTCCCTCATCCGCCTCATATTCAGCTTTACCTTTTCGCTCCGTTCATCAGTAACCCTTGTCTTTTTGTTTCTTTATAGGGGCCATTATTCGGCCTGAAAGAAATTAAAATATAGAAAGAAGTAGGTAAGGTATTATTGAATCAACTCCGTGATCACCACCATCATCTCCGTTATCGCAAATAATAACGGAATGGACATAACGGAGTTGATAAACAGGTGTATTTTTGTTGTTTATTTCTTGAAAATAATCAATTAAAAATTTGATCGTGTCCCACAACCAAGATTATCATATTAGGAAGATAATTATAATAATGTCTTGGTAATTAAACATTTGACTTACCTTTAAAAAGTGATAACGGCGTTGATCTTTTAGGTTGAACGAAAACCACTTGAACCTACTTGATTGCGAATTTTAGTATGTCCGATGGAGTGACCGTCGCCTTTGGTGATCAGATAGATACTAAAACAGTTCGAAGCTATCTCAGAAGCAGGGTTCCAACCGGTCTTTACCAATTTACTCTCAAAAACTTTTCCGGATTACTCACAATTACTCACAACTTGAAAATATCAATATTACTAGTTTTTTTTTATATAAATCGTATATTTCGTACTCTTGCACTTTGGTTTGAATTTAGGGGGGTTTAATATAAAAATGGGCAATTATCGAAATGATTCCAAAATAAGTGTAAGTTACTAAGACAGGTATTCTGAGAATTGCCCATTTTTTTAAAAAAATCTTCGTCCAATCAGGGGCTTAATCTCCGATAAGAATACATCTCTTAGTAACTTTCAAATATTTTGAAATCATTTTGATGTTTTCCCATTTTTTATATTTAATAAAAACACAGAAAAAATAAAAACAAACCAAAAAAGAAAGGCGAAATCAACATGAACTTTTAAGATTAAATCAAACTTTATAAGAAGATAAGGCCTATTGATTGTAATTGAATTAAAGTATGGTGGAGTTAAAGGATTGAAATATTTAAAATAAACTGCAAAACTGTTATTGTCCCCTTCACCAAGAGAAGAAAGCTCGATAAGCTTCGACAACCTACCTTGGCTGGGGAAACCATTCCTTTTGCGGAGGAGGTGAAATATCTGGGAATCACCCTAGATAAGAAACTCACCTGGAACCCCCAATTGGATTAAACCATCAACAAAGCCAGATTATCCCTCGGGAACCTTAGAAGGATATGCGGTAAAGCATAGGAGATCATGCTGGACCTAACCCCTCTCCACATTCTGCTGGAAAGGGAGGCCAGGATGGTCTCCTACAGGCTCCTGAAGGTGGGTAGTCAATGTTACGAAGAACTGCGATGGGACAAGACAGGGCTGATGGGTGAAATTAATAACCACCTCATCCTCGGCATTGTCTCGGACTCGCTAGTTCCCCAACAGCACATAGAAAAGCCATACAGCGTCCTCATTCCAGAGAGAAAAACATGGAGCAGAGGGGAAAAAATCCTCTCCCAGGCAGACTATGCGATGTACACGGACGGCTCCAAAACTGAAAAAGGAGTAGGAGCGGGAGTTTTCGGTCAGAGGCCTAGAGTTGACATATTAAAAAACCTAGGCTCTCTGACCACGATCTTCCAAGCAGAAATGATTGCTATAGAATTGGGCGCGAGAGAGTTGATTAATTTTCTCCCCGCAAAAAAGACTATAAAGATCTTTTCAGATAGCCCTGAGCTCCCTCCAATCGAGTTGACTCAAAGCTAGTTTGGAACTGTAAAAATACCTTAGACTGCCTCGGTGCCCTAAACAAAATTACTTTGATCTGGGTTCTGGTGTGGAGGGCAACGTAAAAACCGACGCACTTGCTGAAAGAGGAACCGAATCTGTGTTCATAGGACCAGAACCATTCCTGGGCATTTCAAAAAGCACTGCAAAAAGAAATTATCTCAAAATGGACGAAGGGTGCAACACTCACGAACTGGAGAGGTACCCCAGGGCTAACCCTTTCGAAGGCGTTTATAACCAACCCTTCTATGAACGCCTCTGCTCAGATCCGAGAATGAAGTAGGAAAGATCTACGCATTTTCACTGGACTGATGACAGGACACTGCCGTCTGGGCAACCACATAAGAAGGATAGGTCTGCAACAAACATCGGACTATCGTTTCTGCAGCGCACATTTTACGTACCTGCTCCACTCTGAAAGGAACCAGATTCCAGATCTTCGGATTTACCCGACTGGAGCCTACCGACTTTAAACAAGTCTCACCCAATTCAATCATGACCTTTATCAAAAGGTGTGGCTTGTACGGTGAACTATAAGTTAGTCATGAGCCACAATAGACCCATCTGGGTCGCAGTGGAAGGCGATGCGATCATCCCACTCATTTTCAACCTAACCTAACCTAACTCAAAAACAAACAATATCAACTTGAAATTTTTGGAAAAAATCAAGTTCTTTAAGAGGATAAAGCTTATTGATTCTGAAAAAATCTGATTGAAAATGGGGGTTAAGGGAGTCTCTTAAACTCTGAAGAGTATAATTTAGAATGCCACGCAATATATATCTTCTATTTATTTTGTATCTGTGTAATATTATGTATTGTGATGGGACTGATCTTACAAAATACACATTTCAGTTCCCTTGTTTTTTTGCCAATAAAGGTATTTAAAAATATATTATTCTCTTTGACATGTGTGACAAATTGTGAAAATGATTAAATTTACAATAAAAACTGAAAAATGGTAAGTAGAGTTTCATATAATATTTTTTACACAAAACTCAATGTGAAGCTTTGCTACATAACCTGATATATATTTAAAAATAATCTCAAAATATGAAGAAAATTCAGCTGGCTAACTAATAATGTTTATAGATAGTTTTCAACTTATTAAATACAAAATAAATATTACAATAACTAAAATATTAATTTATTCATTCATTAATAGTTGTAATGCTTGAAAACAGTATGATATTGATAATAATAACTACACTTGTACAAATAAAATTATTGGAAAAAGAACACCCATTTTAAATTACCATGAGCCACCTCTAGCGAGGACATAAAGTTCCTTGTACTCTTAACTTTTAAATGATCAAATCTTTTAACCACTTGACCAGTAATTTGAGGTGTTAAAATTACTATTTTTTGACTTCAATATGAATATAGATGCAATATGATACTAAGGATTTTTTAGAGTCAATTTTGACATTTTTTGTTATGGCGTGTGTGTCCTAAATTCGAGTCTATATTCGTATTCAAAATAAAAAAAAAATATTTTGTTTTTGAGTTATTTCAAAAAATTACAGTTAAATCGCATCTTTATGGTCCATTATTCATTGTAATGAACTCCTTAGATTTATATAGCTAATGAAAATTGAGCAATCTGTATCCCTCACTAGTCATATTACAACTTCATTGTCACCATGATGAAATATTTGCTGAAGAAAGATAGTCACCAACAAGCTCTTTCTATGTAACACAGTGTTGACATTAATTTAAGACTTTGAATGTATATTGTTAATTTTAAGGTGAAGGGTGAGAAAAAGTCCTTTATATCTCACAAGGAGATATAAAGGACTTTTTCTCACCCTTCACCTTAAAATTACCTCAACTCACACATGGCTACCCCCCTTGTCAAGTATATTGTTAAACTAGATAAACCTATACATATACAGGGTGTCCCGAAATTAGACGGTAATATTTTCAAAACTGTGTCATCAGGACTTCACTTTTAACACCCTGTATCTCGGAAAAGAAACGTTTTCGGACCTATGTTTATATGAACTTTTACTTCTATTTTAGGATGTTAAAATATGACCGGCTAATTTTGGGACACCCTGTATATTCAGTGAAATAACTTTTTGCATTAAAAAAACTTGAAAATATAGTGAATGGTGTAAAGAAACAATAGTAATATACAATATAATATTTAAATGTCATTATTGTGTACTTTTTGTTATTTTGGTTGGAATAGACCTATTGCGTTTGTTATTTTATTAAGATTCATTTCATGTATACAGTATGGTTCAAATGAAAGGAATAAATTCATTATAATGGAAGTAGTTGGTTTTTCGAAAAAATGCTCGAACAGGTCAATTTTGTTTTCTTAAAGAGCAATTTTTTAAATAAAATTCAATTTTCCCCCACTTCCCATTTTTGGGCAGTGACGTCATTGCAAATTTTTTTAAATAGCAACCCCAATTTTTTTTTCTTGATTTTGATAGATCTTGCAATTTCCTACTTGGAAACGTAATATTTTAAATATCTGACATAACAATTTTTTTTGAAAAAAAGTCATTTCAAGATCAGATACATAAATTTTATGTTATTTTGAAACACAATAAATTAATAAAAGATAATTATTTGTAATTAAGTGCTTAATTTAAAAAAATAATAATAATAATAAAACGAATTTAATGACAATTTCACAAATTCTTTTTATTATTATTTTTTTTATTATTATTTTGTTAGATTAAGCATTTAATTACAAATAATTATCTGTTATTAATTTATTGTGTTTCAAAATAACATAAAATTTATGTATCAGATCTTGAAATGACTTTTTTTCAAAAAAAATTGTTATGTCAGATATTTCAAATATTATGTTTCCGAGTAGGAAATTGCAAGATCTATCAAAATCAAGAAAAAAAATTGGGGTTGCTATTTAAAAAAATTGTCAATGACGTCACTGCCCAAAAATGGGAAGTGGGGGAAAATTGAATTTTATTTAAAAAATTGCGCTTTAAGTAAACAAAATTGACCTGTCCGAGCATTTTTTCGAAAAACCAGCTACTTCCATTATAATGAATTTATTCCTTTCATTTGAACCATACTGTATATCCTCATAGAAGTATAATATAATAAGAAAATAATTATTCCATACATACAGTGTCCAACATATCCATAGCTTTAGTTAAGAAAAATAGGTGATACGTTTTTAGTAGCCACACAGCGTGGGGATTATTTGAGTAATCTATTTTTTCACAACTCCAATTCATGTGGTTCCATATTACATGAGAAGCCTAAAAATAATAAATATGTAGGTACCTCGGCCAATTATACAGGTTCTCCAAGAAATAAATGCCAACATTTTAACTAAAAGTGGAACGCATCAATTGCAATAAGTTTTGTCAAATATATTTTTTGTCGAAAATCCGTTAGTTGTAAAGATATTTTTTTAAATACTTATGTAGTATTTTTTGTTACCCGTCAACAAAACAAATAATTTTTACGCAGGAGCCACAGACCTTGCTATTGAAAGCGGAGTGAAAAGTACTTTTTTCTACACCCACATGGATATTAGCTATTCTACGCACAGATAGCAAAATGAAAATTTTCCACACACATCTTATTCGAAACATTTTTTATATACAGGGTGTCATTGAAATAGTGTAAAAAAATTCGGGAGGTGATAGTACTCCTAAAACTAGTCTAGTCTAATTGAATTCGACTTACATATGTAGTTGAATATTATTTCTATTTTAAATGGCACACCCTGTATTTATTAACGTAAACTGATAGACATTTAAATTATCTTTCATTCCATATAAGATTTCCCTATACCTAAATTCGATCGATCTTTAGTAAATAGCTGTTTTTTATTTTTAACATAAGGATTTTATCATATTGTTAGAAGTTAAAAGAATAAACTTCAAAATTATTGTTTTTAAATGATTTATCACCCTATATACTATAACACCCTGTATAGCCACTTCATAAAACACGTGTTAACATGCATGGTTTTATAATGTTTTATTGAATATCTCGTAAACAATGTTTGTAATGTAATTAATTAAGGAACAAAATAAAGAATGTCTTTAACGGCATATTGCCTATCACTTCGCTCTCGGCGCTCTCTCCTGGTCCTGGTCACTGAAACAGGTAGACGCATTGTCGACCCCCAGTGGTGGCGATATCCTAATTCGCTGACTCTAACAATATTATTTTTTAATCATAGTAACCATAGAGCAAATATCACTCAAAATATGGTATTGAACGAAATAAACATTTTTATTATAGTTTGAGAAAAAGATATAGTGTGACTTTAAACCTTTGAAGCCAGCCGACAACATACAAAAAAAAAAACTAAGGAACTGATACCCCTGATACATCGCAATAAAAAATAGTAGAGGAGCATTCAAGAGATTGAGTATACTTATTTTATTTGTACTTTCCTCGATAATAGGGAAGTTTTGTAATCGTGAAAAAGTCACCCTACGAGAATATTTTAGATTTTCACGTGTTCGGATCCCTAGAATACGAAAAACATGTTTTCCCCATTCAGTAGGTCTATGTGCCGTCCGGCGTCTGTTGTCTGCCGTCTGTCTGTTGGCGCGATAGCTCAAAAACGGCTTAGGAAAAAAACTTTTTGTATGCCGATATATACAGGGTGAGCAGTTAAAAAAACATCTATTTTAAAAGTCAGTAGATTTCGACTAAAATTGGTATCTGATCTAAGATAACAGACATAAATTACTTTTCAAAAATTCAAAATGGCTTCCCTGTTTTTACAATTTATACAGGGTATTTTTGAATGATATGCTCATATTATAGGGTGTGATTCCTCAGGTTATTTTATGAAGAAAAGTTCATATGAACATTTGTTTTTTAAAATCTCTGACAATAGTTTAGATATAATTTTTAATTTTAGCATGTGAATAGGATATAAAACCTATTAACACATATCTACCAAAATTGAAAATAATAAAAGTAGATCGAAAAATGTATGCAGTTGCGGTTATATCCCGTGTTTTCCAATTTTTTTCTTATTATTTCAATTGTAGGTATTTCATTGTTCTTGTAACTGTCGTATATAGTTGTTTTCAATATTTTTATCAAAGATGTATTTAAATGCTTAGTTAATCCGATATCACATCGCTTCTTGCGTTCAAATGTCCATTTTTTACTAATTTTGATATGGTTGAACAAGGTATTCCAGTTAAATCAGATGTTGCTTGTAATAGTATTTTTGTGTCGAAACCAAACTTCTCGTGCAGATTTATGTACACGTTGAAACATATTTTCTGTGCTTGATAATTCAAATGACTTCGTTTTTTCTTGACTGGGAGCTCTTCATCTAAATCACTACCACAATCACATTCAAAACTACCACTGTCACTTCTACACTCAAAATTTTCACCTTTGTCATTGCACATCACAAACTCGGCGTCGGTTTCACATTCTAAAATATTACGGTCGTTATCAAATTCTAAAATATTATTATTATTGTTATTATTATTAATATTATTATTATTATTAATTTAATTATTATTATTAATATTATTATTATTATTATTACCATTGTTATCCCAAGGCCTCCATAACTCCATCGTGTTGAATGTACTCCTAAGAAGATGTTCGCTTGACTAAATTGTCTATACGAAGTGAGTATAAATAGCCATAAAAACGTAAAACTGGACTGGCTCCAGGCAGAGGCGTGCAATGCAACAATATAAATGAAAAATGATTATTTTATTTAGGTACATTTCTTATAGGACCTACATAAAATACATCATATTATTATATTATAACGCTTGATTGCGATCGTAATAGTGTTTAAAACGCACTTTGTTATGTGAGTATTATATAAAATGGTAATAACAAAAATAATAATACCTACCAGGTGGGTGGGTGGCTCAGTGATAGAGCCCAATTTTTACATCTCGATTGAAATGAGATGTGAATGAGATGTTCGTTCCATGCCAAAAAGTAGGCGTTCTGTGAAGCCAAGTTTATCGATTTAGCCTTTGTTTATGAATGCATGAATATAAAAGTGATTTGTTTGTTTAATTTTTGTTTAGATTTCATTTTATCACGTGACCAATAAAGTCTAGAGCTTTTGTTTATTACATCTACTAGTGTTGGGAGAATCGGATGTTTTTCAGAATCGAACATTTTGAATTCGATTACTTTTGAGAATCGAGCAATTATTCGAATACAAAAGAATCGAATTATTTACGTTTCGTTTCGAGGTCAGCGTCAGCGACATGAAAATATACGCAAGCACAAGCGATTCAGCCTCTCGACTCGAGTTCCCTAGTGCTCTCGGCAGTCTCAGTTCTTGTCTCAGGTGCCGCCTACCGATTTGTTCTATCTAATAATATATGGATTAATATTGAATAAATAATAACCATTTTTTTATAGGTCGGTGTCGGCAAATATGTATCGCCGTGACTGCCACTTTTTTTTTCATTGATTAAGTTATGACTTGTTCATAAAATAATAAATCCCAAAATTCCTATACTTCTAAAAATATTTACGTAATATGCCGCAATCAGAACTACTAAAGTACTATGTTAAATTAAAATTAGTAAATTACGCTTCCTTTGTAATTTTAGTCGGGTCGAATGCACGCTAGAATCGAATACTTTTATAATTTGTATTCGAATAGTCCCATCACTAACATCTACATTTAGATCTAATCCTTTACAACGTGACAAAAAATTCACAACATCTCAGATGCATCCGATGTGGATATTATTCAAACGCGGCATTTATTTCGAAATTCTAAAACTTTCGATGTTACGACACTGGGTCGTGCCACATGTCACAATTCAATTTCTTGCACATTTCTGAATACAGTATTCAAGAATTTGACCAATAATAATTTGGAAGCGACCTTAGAAGCGACCAATTACATGCGCCGTATTAAACGTGGGAGGTAACATTTGCTGACAGGTAGATGTCCAGTCCATGTGGACCATTCAAATAAGCATACAGGGAGCGATCAACACAAATTTTATTATTTTATTTCAGTGTGTTATGCAGTAAATTAATCGTGCCTCGTATTTATCTACTATTTTTAAAGGTGATGTATCAGTCTCCTTAGTTTTTTTTTTGTATGTTTGCCGGCTGGCTTTAAAGGTTTAAATCACACTATATCTTTTTCTCCAACTATACTTTTCAATGTTAAATAGTTTCAATGTAAACCAAAACTATAATTTTTTTAATAAAAAAACAACATTTAATGACAATTTGAATTATTTGAAAACTACACACAAATGAAAAAGAGTAAGAAACAAATTAAAAGCAAAACAAAAAATGAATTATAAAAAATGTTCAAAGTGACGCTCAACTTGTTCTAAACACAACTGAACTCGTTTTTCAAAGGATCATTTCATTTTCAGAAGAATTTTTCCAGTTACCTATTCTAGCTTTCATATCTTCCGGAGTAGTTGGTGAAGTGTTATAAATTATATTTTGTATGTGTCCCCATAAAAAAAATCCAACGACGTCAAGTCTGGATATCTTGGAGGCCAATTATGTGGACCACCTCTTCCGATCCATTAATGCCGGTTTAAGTATCGCCGTACTCGAAGTTGAAAATGTGAGGGAGATAGATCCATCCAACTGCATCCACATTTTCTGCCTAGTATTTAAAGGTACATTATCAAGTAGCCCAGATAATTTTCTCCGCAAAAATTTTAGAAATTTTCTGCCATTAAGATGACCGGTAAAAAAATAAGAACCAATAACATGTAAACCTAATATTCCTCCCCACACATTCAAGGACCACTGTTATATATTTAATAGACCATTTTATATACTGCATAATAAAATAGTCGTTAGTATGAAGACTAGTCTTCATAGTCGTTAATGTTTAGTTTCTATGCATTCATTTTTTTTGTGACTTAATTCAATTCATGTCAAGATATATTTTTTGTAACGTCAACCCTTTATAATAAAAATATTAATACGCGGGTATTATCATTTCAATCAGTACAAAATAATTTGGCGACGATTGGAAAAAGTACGTAAAATAATCTTCAGTCAAACTAAAAAAAACGAGTCCAATGTATGGCTGAGAAGTTAGCCCCTCTAATAGACGCTCTCAGTGGGTTAATCTCAACTCTCCAGCACCAACAAAGACAAGAGAAGAGTCTTAAAGATGTTCTCCAGACACAAGCCATTTCATTTGAGTCATTCGATGAATCAGCGGAAACCTTTGATACTTATTCTCAACGCTTGCAAAATTTTTTCAAATTAAAAGGATTAAGTAAAAATAATGAAGAAACCAACGAAG